TAAAAGGACCATCGACATAATCATCTTCAAGAGCGGCAGCAGTAGCATTATCATCATCATTATCAACCTCTTCAGCCGCATTCTTCTCATTCTCAGAAACAGCAGTAACATCAACATTATCATCATAATCAACAACGCCCTCATCACTACCATCGCCACCAGCATCGGCATTAACATCCACATCCACATCATCATCAGAGGCATCAGTTACATCATTATGATCGTGATCAACAATAGCAGCAGCCTCATCTTAATCATCTTTAACTGCAGCAGTAGTATCATCATTCGTGCCACTTAGTCTACTGCCTTAATAGTTATGGTGAAACGACTAGTTGGTCTCGTCTTGGGAGTATTTTTTTCGCGCATGATTGCTGGCCCAACTCCGAAAAGAGGAAACGGAAACTTGCTTTGTTCGCATGCTTTCTCAGCACCATGCTTCATCAAGAGAGATAGAAGGCAGTTTTATTCTCCCCCTCGGCCTGAGTCGAGCCAAACAAGTTGAGATTCATGCTGCCCCTTTCAAAACGTCTGCATATCATCATGGAGTTCAAGACAGGACATTTTGTCGTGGATGCCCAGATAAAACTGATAATGCTAAGTCGTTATTTCATATTTGCTCTAAGAGGACAGCTCATGCTATTGTCGTGTCGTCTTCCAGCCTCGGACTATGAACCGACCAAGCGTACTTCCAAACGTGGCTTCGGCATCGAGCAGCCCCAGACATTAGCTCGTCAGGGTTACGAGCAAAGCCAATCCCTTTAAGCACCATTCCTCTTCCTTCTATCCATCTCGCGTCACTGAATCCTGTACACTTACTTCTTCACATTCTCTTCATATGACACCGATTCAACTGAGTGCTTCTTGACGAGACTGACCCAACACGTACTCAGGCGTCTCTCATGAACGCTGAAGACGGAGCGTCTGAGGTTGTGCCTTGGCAAAAGACAGATGCCTGAGATACGCATGCTTAAAGATAGGTTATTTAGAGTTGCCATGTCGACGGGATTTGGTTACAAAAGAGTGGTCAAACCATCTCAAATGGGAGATAGAAAAACCAAGATGTTGTGGCTTTCGGTATGGTCTCAGTCTCCCTTTTAGAAGTGGGTTGACCTCGTTTTCGCAACTTGGTCTTGTTGTCAGGGAGATTTAGTAGAACGCACCCAGTCCGAAGTCGACTGCCATACTAGTTGTCATAATTCCCAGCATCAGGCAGTGGATTTGGTGAATGGGAGCGATATATTTGACTTTCCATTAAAGTCTTGTTTGTTGTGTAAGACGATGTTACTAAAATAGTGTATCCCAAGCACAAGCGACTCTAAAACCGTTCCCCCAAGTTTCGATCATGATTATGGGTGATAAAAAGAGGACGAAAGTTTTGTCCTTTTTTGACAATTTGACATGCATGGTAGGGTAAAATTCAATGAAAAGGTCAAATCTTTTTTTCAACTCATCGTGAGTAACGTCGTTTTTAGGTGAACTGGTCAATTACTTCAATCGCAAGCCGCTCACTTCCAGATTTAGTGAGTGAGTAATGCAGAAGACAGCAAATTGCCCTATGCCAATTACTGTTTGAACTTACTAGAACATTGCAATTGAAGTCGTCCTCAAGGCAACCCCCTTCGATTCCGTTGAAAATATACCAAACTTTGGTATGGCTTACGACGGACAACATGAAAACAGTGTGCAATTCTTACTAGTTCAAACTATCCTACGAATCTCTTCATCAAACAGTTCCACTTTAGGCGGAAGTGAGCTTAACCATTGTGAACTAAGAGATTTTAAAATCCAAATTTGCTTCATGTCAACCACGTTCGAATGGACCAAGTTTTATTACCTTTCTTCCAGCTATGCAGTAAGCAACAAATCCGTATCCAGGCCACATAACATTATTCGATTTAAAAAATTTTTATTTCACATAGTGTACTATCTAAAGGCTGTCTTCTTAGTAAGCTGCTAGATTTACCTATTTCCATTAATAGGGAACTGAAACTGATATCATCTCATTTGACTGTGACTAAACCAAAACAAATTGTCGAAAACTTGCACTAATTGCTTACACGAAGACTGAGATGATAAAATCAATTTCACGGATGCTCTCTCATAAATATTCTCTAAAACCATATGGTATGGCGGATGGTCTAACGGAAAGGGACATTCAAATTCAAGGAGATAATCAAGCAATTACACTTAATCTTGAAGAACACCTGATTATTAAACTTAAGTAAATGTTTTATCGTATGACTATTGACCAATGAATGAGTAGCACATGCTTCACCTCTTACGATAGTCTTTATGAGCAGATGCTTAGACTTGCAATCGGTTCTTGTTGGTAGTCTCAAATTCTACTTTTAAAAGAAGTAGTACACTTAAATATGTGGATTGAGCTCGTTTTCGCAATTTGGTCTTGTTGATAGGGTGATTTAGTTGAACGCACCTTGTCCGAAGTCCTCTCCTAAAGTAGCCATCATAATTCCCAGCATCCGACCGTGGACTTGGTACATTCTCAAACGTTTCGCCGGCCTCGTAATCGGCATCATCAGTGAGTCTTGCCAGTCTCGGCACCCAGCTACAAACTCGTCAACGAGACAAGTGAAGTCGATCCCTCGACAAACGTTCTGCCTTGGTCGAGGGATTGACTTCACTTGTCTCTGACGAGTTCGTAGCTTGGTGTGGCGAATGGCAAAACTCACTGATGAAGCCGACTACGATGCCGGCGAAACGTTTGAGAATGTATCAAGTCTACTGTCAGATGCTGGGAATCAGGACAACGACTATGGCAGACGACTTCGGACTAGGTGCGTTCTACTAAGTCGCCCTGACAACAAGACTAAGTTGCGACAACAACCCACTTCTGCCCGTTTAGGCTCACAACCCCACTCGCGAGAGCATCTTCTCCATCTCGGACCAGCCAAAACCCACACTTATATAATTTCTTAAGCTATCAAATTCAATTGTAGAGTAATTGTTTGAAACATTAAATAGTCAAAAGCCTATCCAGTCTTAATTTTATCCTGAGTCATGTGTATTTTTGCCCTGATCAAGAATTACATTAATAAGACAGGCTATTTTTCATATTATATAATGACGAATTAGCAGGAATTCAAATATATTGTATGCTTATACTGCGTGTCAGCATGAAAGATACGAACAATATATTTACTAGAAACAGAAGAAAAGAACTAATCAAAAGGTAATTCAGCCGTAATCTATAAATGGATTCTTTGAAACATAGTTTTTCTACATATATACTTTCAAGTTTAATATAAATTTAATATATTTTAAGAAAATTAGATTATATATTTTTTATTTGAAAGTATTTCAAGAG